GGGTGGGGGATACACATATCACTGGCCGCCATTTTGGAGGGGATACACATATCACTAGTGATATGTGTGCGGGGATACACATATCACTGTGACACCGGGACAGTTTTGAGAGTCAACGATCGGTTTTTGTTCTGCTAATGTCCCCGCCTTTCCCAGGTTGGGGGGCGTGATTTCCTTTGACTGGTGCATTAGGCCAAAAATTATGAGGAATATATCTGCCTGTCATCAGATGAGATGTTGCCATTGCAACGGCCTTAATCCAAAAACTGACAACCAAAAAATAAGCCTTATTTTAACAGTACCCGTTATGGTAAATCTCTACTGGGAAAACTTTAAGAGAAATTAACCAAGCTTCCTTTTCTAACTCGCGCTCTATAGGCAGGGTGTTCGTAAATACTCTGGGAAACCACATTAAAGCGATCGGATTCCCAGGATCTATGACCTTCAGTGTACATGGACTCTACATGGTGCAAGGGGTTGCATATTAAATTATATCAGCTTACCTGCCAACTTTCCTGGTGGACCTCCCGGAGAAGTCGCCTTATCAGCTAGATATTGAGAAAAGTGCTTAAGACAAGTTACTTCGGCCGAATTTTCGCATAATTATATTTTCTTTACAGCAGGGCACGGGATGAATACTGCGAAAAGTACGAAGACAACGAAAAAATCTAAAACAATCTGCCTTCAACTCCACCATCTTCAAAAAGTCACGTATAAGCACATAGGAAGTTCGAGTGCCGTTCCCACTATCGGCGCCATCTTGATACATCGTTTGCGAGGAATCTGGGGAGGAAATTAAGTTGACAAAAGCTCACATTGTAGGGTCCACAAGGGACTATTTTTGTCCTCTCCTTGAAAAAGGCGTGGTTGTCTGATCACATGGGNGGGGGGGGGGGGGGGGGGGGGGGAGGGAGAGGGGTTAGCGGAGTCATAAACCTCCTGGTTCCCTTACCTTAGCCCGCTCTCCCGTACCCTGTACCTTTATCTCCCGTCACTCCCGCTCTTCACAGTTAAATATTGACACAAGGAGTTGGGAAGAAAGCCCGCAAAAAAACTACAAGTTGATATATTCCATTCCCTTTTGTTGTTTCTACTTTAAAAGCCAGTCCTTGGGACACTAAGATAAATGCCACCTAGTGAAAAAATCTGTTACAGTGAAAAACATTGCGTTTTTTAAATATTAATTTCCTTAACCCCAAAGCGGTCTTGGAATGTTGGCACCGGGCTGTCTATAGAGGATATTACACGGTGGCGAGAAGATATGAATTTTATATTCGAGTGTCAAGAACAATATCTCACGAGTGAGATATTGTTCTTGCCACAAGAACATAAAATTCATATTTTTGAGCTAACATATAATGTTCTTTTTATTACATAGACATACTGATGACGGCCAGTGGGGCCCTGGATGACGGAGTTCTTGATATTCTGAAGATTTCCGACCACTTTCCAAAGATTTCTGAAGATTCTCTAAAACTTTTCTGAAGGTCACACAAACATTCCCAAACCCTTTCCGAAAGTTTCCAAAGATTATCAAGATTGCCGAAGACTTTCGAGTTAGACCCAAAGATGTTTCAATGATACACCACCGAATTAAAGTACATTATTTAAGAAACAAACTTGATATCAGTGAAATTGTCGATACCTTCACTAGTGAGCAAGTCTCGGATGTGGTTTCATATGAATTTTACGAGTGGTGTATTTTCCAGTAAAACACTCATGTCTATATAGTAAATATGTTGTCTTGTCAGGAGTGGAACGGGAGGAGACAAAGCACAGGTTGGTAGTGTCAAAAATTTGTAAATTGGTACAGTGGGTCAGTAAAAGTGTCCTGGCCAAGAACAAAATACAAGGACCCAGCTTGGACTAGAAAAATACATGTACCTTTTGACTTGGTGCTAACCACAATAGGCTACCTTGAACCAGTCAGTATCAAGGGATATAGTTGAGCAGTAAAGAAGATAGTAGAGTGCAGAATTTCCAAGAAGATGTGGGGAGGGGGATAAATTGTTGTAATTGACAATTATTCTTTGAATGCATGTCAGATATGAGATGGCAGAGAGCCAACAAGGCTAGTCGCTGAGTTGGTAAAAATCATCTCATATCCAACAAGCCCAAGTGGAATAAATGTTTTACTAAAAATGTCTCCAAAATATAGAAAACTAACATAAAATAAAAATATAAACGAACCAACAAATTACAGCTAGGCTAACCGTATATGAAGAGCATGGTATAATGGCTCATATTTATCATGATGGCTTCACTTCACTTTGACTTTTAGCCATAAGCCTCTGGTGTCTAGCCAATAAAAACTCTTAAATTGTATTATCCAATGATTCAGTAAACTTGTAATAATAATCTTTATTTAAACGCTCTTGAAAAACTGATACCAAAAGAAATGAAAGAACTTATATTAAGATGACAACACAATTGGGTACAATAGTAAGATTGTACACATAATGTATGATTGTAGATTCAAAAACCATTAGGTTTGTTTATTAATAAAAATTATTTATAAAAAAGCTTAAATCTGTAACTTTATATTGCCACTTCTACCAGTAATTTGGTATAAAAACACGGCTGTTATATTGAGGGAATTGAGGACTTTTTGAACTTCAAGAGAGTTCATGATGAGGAAATCATTAACTGGAAATTTGTGAGATCAGTTAGTATTGAAAGTATTGCTGGCCTTTGGATTAATTTGCCAGATTCATTTGCACTATGTGTTACAACTTTGAAACCATACTTCATGTACAACTGTATGGCAGCTACCTGAGTGTTGGAAGTTGTTAAAATGATCATCTTCATTCTATGTTTTTTTGCATGTGTAATCACTTCAGTGAGCATTCGTTTACCAATGCCCATTCGTTTATAACCTGGCACCACATACATTCGCTGCAGTTCAAATACTCCTGGCTCCTGGTTCTCATCGTGACGGAGTCCAACCATACCAACAACTTTACCGCACAACTCAGCTACCCACATGTGACAGCCTTCATCTGACATGTATGACTTCTCGATATCCCTCATATCAGTTTTCATTGCATTATTAACATACTTGTAACTAGCAACACGCAGACTTATGTAGAAAAATGTCAACAGAATCAAAATGATAAACACAAACAACACAAAAATCCATGTTGACCCCAATACTGCTGCAAGTGATGCCAAGATAGTTGCCATGCCAACATACCATGATGATTTTGACAAGAAAGTTACAGCAAGAGCTTTTTTGTAATCTTGAAATCCATCCATAAAAATCTGAACACATTCTTTTTGGTCAGAACGCTGGAAGGAGCGAATGGTTAGCCTGTCTTTGACCTCAGGGTAATGTGTGGTCCAGTGCTGTGTAGCATCTGAAGAACCCATATTGTTCTGACTTGTAAGAAAGAAAAATAAGAAGACAATAATTGAAGGTACCATAAAATGAAGCTTAGAAGCTCTAGGCTTATTCAAAGTCAAAGGGGTTTTGGGTATTCAGGAAAGGTTTATATTAAAAATGTTTCACTGACAATTCAAAGACTCTGTAGAGCAACATATTACACAAAAGAGTTTTATTAATGATATGATTTGCACTCTACTTTATAAACTTATATATTCATTAAGACCTTTTACTGTTTAAGAACAAAGGCTGCTCAGTGAGAATAGGAGAAGGTTCAGAAGGTGTTGGCCTGGTGGGCATACATATTTTGTATTAATTTATAAACTGAACACTTTTTCATTTATAAATATTCCTCACAGCTTAGATTAAGCATGAAGGAAAGTCAGAAATTTAATCTTCACATGTTAGATCTGCTCACAACAGAAAAGCCTGAAATTGTCTTTAAAGAGAGGTGAGCCTTGAGCAAGTACTGTGCTTCAGTCTGTGCTCTGAAAACTTCTGCATGTATCATAATTCAACAGTACTAGGTCATTTCAAACAGTAGCCACAGATAATAATTTCCAGTTATCTAAGGGAAAAGATTCTTCATGTTTCTTCAATAGAGTCTGGCTTTGATGTATAGGCACTGGTAGACTTTTAATGCTATCTAGACTGCATTAAAGAGCCGTATGTTTCTTGTGATTAAAAGCTGTGGAGCCATTGTCAAAACGGTGAGCAAATTGTGAAACATAGGCACGCAAGGCGTGCAAGAGTTATTTTTTTGTGAACTATAAGTCTTGGAGATAGGCGCGTTCATGGAACTGTTTACAGTAATGATTTGGTTGATTTGACAAGTGTTTTTGGCTGCGATGTACAGCAAGAAAGAAACTGGGAGTTTATGATGTACATAAGATGTTAAATCGGTAATGGTAAGATAACTAAATAGTAAGCCATAAAATGATTGCCTGAACAAACTACAGTAATCTGACATGTCTCCAGATTAATGCAGATACCATCTTATTTTCTAACAGGCAATTTTATTCGTTCTTTGATACAACCCA